TGGCACTTTCCATTTTCTTTTTTTGCCGCCTCCACTCATGGCATTTATTACATGTTATAAGTAATAAACTTATATTACTTATAACATGTGCCATATTTCTTCAGGTAGTTTATTGTCTACTTTTCTCTAGTAGAAAACAAACATCAGAGGGCACTGCTTTTAACAACCCAGAGGAGGTGCCAGGTGCCATGTTTGATGAATATACAAATGAGCTGTGCGTTAACAGGACATGTGGGGCATTCAAAAGGGTGTGTTTTCTCAGGTATTTTTGTTATAGACTATAACTAAGCAAAGTGTGATAATTTTAAAGACTCCTGCTGTGATTTGGGACTTGATTACACAAGAAAATTTACCTTTTTTTTTTTTTTTTGATATAACTGGCTTAATTTTATATACACACAACTAAACCAACATACATATATCTTTTTTGAGTTAATTACTGGAAAGAAAATAGTACTCTATAAAGCCAAACCAAAACAAAGCCAATTTCCTAAAACCCTATAAAGAATGTATTTTAGTTCTAGTGAATTAGAAAAAAACACAATTATCTCATACTTTTTCTTTCTGGGTTCTTAGAGAAATCGCAAAGAAAACAAAATAATAGATAGGAGGTCAGCACTCATGAATCAGATTTCATCTTGATAGGCTTTTTATAGACCTATAACAAAGTGGAGCCCTGAAAATTGGGTTAGGTAATGGGGATTCTGACAGTTCCTATAACTACGTGAAACTAGGAGGTGCTGCTATAATTCTGCTGCTTCTGATGAAAATTTCAAGTGTTTTCATTAGGTACAACAGCTGTTTCTATTACAGATAACAGATCTCAGAGGTGGTGATGCTGATATCAACTTCTAGTGGGCTCAGAACACAGTGTAGCTTGTACAATTAGTTTTTTTTTTAAATTATTTTTTTTTTCTGCACACACAAATTAACTCTGTAGCAATAAAAGGAAATTACTTACTTGCTATCGGAATTGTCTGAAAGTGATAGGATCATCCTTTCTGAGTTACATTAACCAAATTAAAAGCCCTTGGGAAAAATTTGGCACCCTGTTCCTTCCCATTCACATCTTCCTAAAGACCTCTCAGGGGCTTCCATTTAGAAAGTTAGGATCATTACCAGTGCTTTTAATTTGGAAAGACTGGCTGCTCACCAGTGAGTCTTTCTAGACACCCAATGGTTGGGTAGAGTGGCTCTGTAGAGTTCCAATCACAGTGGCCTTGACTTGACTATCCCTTTGACTCCTACAAGCTTGCAAGTAAGTTTTCCAGGGCAGACACAGTAAGTTTTCACAGCTCTGCTGCTGAAGCTTGTCTTAAAGACAGACACTATCATTTCATTCTCTCACTGAATGCACATCTCCTCCATGGGGAAGTGAAATCTATTCCTCCAACCCTGTGAATCTGGGCTTCCCTGTGACTGGTTTGACCAACAGGTGTGGTGGAAGTTGCTCTGCCAGTTCTGGGTCTCACCTTTAAGAGAATCCATGATTTCCACTTTCTTTCTCTTGAAATGCTTCCTCTCGGAACCCAGCCTAAGTCACATTATGCACCCCAGTCAACTCTCTCAGCTGACTGGTGTCAACTGTCAGCCATGTGAGTGAGCCATCCTGGAGTCAAGTCCATTTTACTTTCAAATTACTACAGCCCCAGGCACAGAAGCCATCTGATTGAATGGCATGGGGGACACTAAACAAGAACCACCTGACTGAGACTGGTCAATCCATAGAACTGTGAGAGACAATATTGAATTGTTGTTCTCAACCACTATATATTAGGGTTGGTTTGTAACACAGCAATAAAAAACCGAGATAGAGGTGAAATGGGAAGACACAGGCTAAGTGCTCCTATGAATGTGGGCATCAAAAAACTAGCTTAGAGTGAGGTGGTATTGCTGGTTACTTACAAGATGTAGACAGATATAGATAAATGTCTGTCTTCAACCTTTCGGCTGGCCATTGAAATTTCATAATTGGACTACTGTTCTATTCTCACTTAGATTTATAAATAGACATTACCATACAAATGATATTTGTATACTGTAAAAACACAAATGTTATTACAATACTGTACAAATGCAAATATTTCTGGGAAGAGAACTGCTCTAAACCAAGGTACAGCAAACTTTTTCTGTATAAAGACAGATAGTAAATATTTTAAGCTTCGTAAGCTATTCAAACTTTGTGGTTTACAAACATAGTGGTTGGCCAATTTCGACCTGAGGGCTGTAGTTTGCTGACCCTTGTTCTAAACAATTATTTCTATATCCAACAGAATTATTTGATTATATTGCTTGACTCTCATCAGCATTGGATTTGGTTTACCTCAAACTCCTATCCCTCTTGCCATTCCTTCTTAGTGTCCTTTGTAGGGTTCTCCTCCTAAGATTGAAATGTGCTCCTCGAGGATCTTGTCTTGTTCTATGCTCTTTCTCAGCCAAATCACCCACTCAAATGATTTCAGTTAATACTAATTTGGCAATGACTAATAAGTCTCTATCTATGTTCAGTCTTTTATCCAGAACTCTAGAACCCTTGAATATCTCGTCAGCACTGTACATTCAATGTACTTTTGTGCCAGTTATTAGCCTGTAGTCTCTCAACTCCAAACCCACCCTTCTATAATTAGGTCTTTGATGCTGGGGCCAAAACTCTGCAAACCCTATTCCTGTTTTGCCAGTTCTTAGTCTCTCATCAATAGAGCAGTAGAGGAACACTCCAATGCCAAAAAACAAAGGAGGGACTTGCTGCTTCCTGTTTATTTGCTGCTGACTTCCTGTCTATTTGGAGTGCCTGTGAGAGTGTCTTCAGCAAATCTTCTTTCCTCCAGAAATGTTATTTTTTTTTTGTAGTAGCAGTTGAATTTAGTTCTTCAAAAAGTCGCAGAATTACCTCTATTACCACTCTCTCCCTCTTCTCATCCTCGCTGTCAGCACCAGTAGGTTAATGCCTTCTCCTCACAGAAGTTGGGATCTCACATCTTCAGGACCCCTCCTCCAAGCTCAGAGATACTAGCAGCAGCTAAGTGGCACCTCCTAGTCGGGGAGGCTGAGTGCTGGCCCTGCATGGCCCTTCTCCAAATTTCTGTTTTAGTGATTCCAACTTCTTCTCTTTGATTTCCCAGGCTTACTGGATGGTAGATGCTTCCTTTAATTAGTTCCTTTGTGATAAATTATTGTTCTTTGCTTTTCCAGTTACCCAGTTTATAATTTCATACCCAGTTAACTGTTCTTTATTTTAAATTCCCTTTCAAATATCTGACTTGGTTTCTGTCTCCTGACTGGATTCTAAAGGAGTTCATATTCTTTACCAAAAGCTGCTCCTCCAACAGTGTTTCCTTCCTTAGTACATGGCACCAGCAAACCTCTCCTTATCTCCTGCCCAATGGCTCAAGCCAAATATCTGGGCGTCGTTCTTAATGCTTTCTGTTCTCTAAACTCCCATATGCAACCAGTGAACTACAAGGCCTGTTGATTTGGCTTCCTGAATATTTCTTATATTTGTCTGCTTCTGTTCATCTCTGTGTCCTCCACTGTAGATCAAGCCACCACCTTGTAACTGACCTCCCCACATTCTGTAGCCCCTCAATCTGTTCTCCCGCTACGACCTTGGAGATGTCTCAAACACGTTTTCCAGTTAAGTACTTTCTGAAAGAGTTCAAATTCTTAACATAATTTATAAGTCCTTCTGTGATTTGACTTCTCCTGCCTCTGTAGTTCATTTTCAAATATGTTTTTTGCACCTTTGTCATTTTCATATGTACCCTGCTTTCTTTGCATTCTTGGTACAAACTGTTCCCTCTGTTTAGAAATCTCCCTTTTCATCTGGCTACATATCCTTTAAATGTAATATAAATATCACTTTCTCAGAGATAGTTTTTCTGACCTCCCAGACCAATTATATCTCCCTATTTGTTTCCACAGATCACTGAACATCTACTTTTTTCACTGTAATATTCAGTAAACCTATAAGTAACTGTTTAACAACTGTCTTCTTTCCTGGATGGTAAGGCCTATACAGGCAGGGGCTGTGTGTCTTGCCCGGCGAAATATCTGTGACATCTAGTGTTCTTTCTGGTGTAGTAAATAGTCAACAAATATTTGCTTAGTTCAGCTGATTTCCATTTTATGCATTTATCATAGGGCCTCTAAATTGATTACAGAAGACACACATTTCCTCACATATACCAGAATCCCTCATGGCTGACTGTTATCTCTTAGACTGAAGGCTTCTTTGGTTTCCTTCTCTCACATCTCCTGACACAAGTTCTCCCTTTGTGGGTTCTTACAGTAATTGGAGGAGACTGAGTGGGGAGTAGATTGATCAGAATTTATTAACTTTAGCTGGATTGGAGACTCAATATTATTCACTCCTATGTTGTCTCTGGGCCCTGTAGTATCCCACATGTCTTCTGACTACCTGGGGCCAGGTACATCCTGGTGCTTGTTTTGTTTAAACTCTGGCAGCCAATGAAGGGATGTTTCTCTACTTCTAAAACCAATATGTTACTCTTCCTCACAAAAATATCAATGTGCTAGTTCCTCTGTAGTTCCCTGGAATGTAGCCATTTTTTTTTTTTTTTTCTCAAGTGACAAAAAATGGGCAAAGGGGTTAGGGAGTGGACTAGAACACTAATGAAAGGGCTTTTAAAAAAATCTATAATAACCAATAAGGAAGAAGCAGATAATAAAAATAGAATATGAGAATGAACATGATAAGAAGACCCCTGAAAGCATATGACCACAGCCTGTTGGAAAAGAAGCAGACCTGAGGGAATAGGTTAGAAAATCCATATTTGATTTTGGTCACACTTCCAGAGAGAGAGAGAGAGAGAGAGAGAGAGAGAGCGAGAGAGCGAGAGAGATGCATTTATTAAAAAAAAGAAAACAAATAATAAAACAACCTAAAAAACTTTTTCTTTTTATCTTCTAAACAGATTTGACTTAAGATGAACATTTTCTTTGAGAATAACATATCTTTTTCCTTCAGCTGAAAGTTTTACCTTTTGAATTGTATTCCACACACGTTCTTTATCGTTTCTTCTTCCTTCAAGGGTGTCCATAGCATCTGCCATTAGTGACTGCAGCTGTGGCACCAAGATAAAAATTATCAGTGTGGAATTCACACAGAAATAACTTCTCTAAATACACAGATTAAAACCTAATTAAAAAATCATTTGTACGCTGATGATTTTATTACTCATCTTTCCGACAATGAACATTGCTACCTCATCTTTGCTTCAGTCATTACTGAGAATTATTGCAGATATAAAATATTGAGACAATGAAAAGATTCTTCTTGAAAATTTGTAGAAAATATATAGGTTTTAATGTAGTAAGTGTTGATGTTTTATTAAAACAGATTTGGGTTGTAAGGAATGAAGACAGTAGTTAATTCTCTCAGGAAATGGCATGTAGTACATGACTGTATTTTAGTATTTTCTCCTGAGGCTAATGTATCACATAACTTTAGGCATCATGCAAAAGCTCACCAGAGGACGATTCTAAAACTGTGCTGTTTTATTGGCTCTTAAAGGATGTAGCTCATTTAATTTTTTTTTTTTTTTTTTTTTACTATTCTTTGCTTCTCTAAAACTTCAAAATAATCAAGTTTTCTTTTTTGATTCCATTCAAAGGCAAGTTTAAAAAATTCCACTCTTTGCCATTTTCCAATTTAAAACAGTCCTATACACATGCTGCATATGCGGCTGCAAAGTAATGAAGCCATGTGACAGTCAAAGCTAAAAAAAGAAAGTTCTGTGAAAAAGAACAAATGCCAGTTCAGTTCACTGTGGTATCAAACAGTATGAACCCTTAGATAATCTTTCTGTACTTTAGACATTGCAGAGCTTAAGCAAAAAGGCAGAGAGTTGAGTCACTCACAACTCTTCTATTGAGCAGCTACTGTTTATAAAGCACCGTAAAAGGTATTACTAGGATTTATTTTCTAGGTTAACTCATGCTTGGAAGTTGAAAAGTAAAATCTATTACTCAATAGTGGTAAAATCTTGCAAGGTACATGATTTTAAAATATTTGGCCTGTACACATACACCTATGTACATTAAAAATTTTTTCTAGTAGGCATATAAATTATGAAAATATCCCATTAAATCCTATTTTCCAGGGTTTGAGATGGTAGAATATTGCACTAACATGTTAGGAAGGGATGTCAATAACACTAGTTTGGCACTCTGTCTATATTTTGAAATATAAGTATTACCAGAAAAAAGAAAGCCGTAGATGTGTGGTTAAGAAGACCTAAGTGCAGAAAAAAAGTCCCTTATATTTTTCATTTAAATCTTACATGTGCTTTTCAGGAAGACAGGATCAACATTGTGCCGGCTTCTTAAATTAATATTTTCTTTACTTCCTCTTATCTCCGAGGAGCATTAATCATCTAAAATTGGCTATAATATGCACTTTGAAAGCGCCAACCTTACTGCACTCCTGAATGCCTTATGAATGATAGGATAAACACTTAGCCTTTTAGAAGGCGTTCCACTGCACACAACTATAAAGGTTTTGAAAGTATTACTGCCAGTTTTGACCTAGTAATTCCTTGATTAATAGCCTCCTCCCCTCCCCCCATAGTTGTAATCTTTAGTAAGCATAGTTTTATTATTTAGCTAGTCAGACCACTTTACATGCTTACTTTGAATATCAGTATTTATTTAATACACTTTTACAGGTTCAGACGAACATTATAAACGTTAACAGTTCATGTCTTGATTAATTTGTTATAACTTTAAAAACTCAGAGGGAGGGTTTCTTTACTTATCTGAAAATTACAGGTGATCAGTTTGGGCTGTTCTCATTTTTGCTATGTGCATTCAATTCAGATCTATATTTAGTTTTAACTACTTTCAATTAAAGCCTTTAAGTAAAGAGCCCTTCCCTGCAACACATTAGAACATCCGTATAGAGTATGTATTTCCTTTCCTTGAATGGCCAGCACATTGTTAAGAAATTGTTTTTCAAACAAGGTGCAATCATTTCTAATATTAAGTATGGTTGTAATATACAAATCTGTTTGAAGATGATTTGCAATATTCCTTCAACTAGTTTTTGGCTGGCTCCGTTTAACTGGTCAATTCAGTTTAAAAACACAGTCGTTTGGCTAACTACATTTTCCCCTCAAATAAAATGACTGTTTTATACTAATGTACTAGAGTGTGTGAGTGAGTGAGTGAGTGAGTGAGTGTGTGTGTGTGTGTGTGTGTGTGTGTGTGTGTATGGTACTGCCAACATATATATGACACTGGAAATGAATAAGAAACCTCTAAAGACTATTTTGTAGGCTTGGTTTTCTATACCGCAATTACTCTTTTGCCTCTCACTTTTCTATAGAAAAAAATCATATATTAACATATGTTGGAGTTTAAGAAACAATTTCTTAAAATTTAACTTGAAAAAAACTTGACACACGATGTGAATAATCAGCCCTTCTCCATGTTTTAACACATCACATAGTTCTTGATATAAAAAATGGAGGCTAATTAATATGAGCAAATAAAAAAAGACACGCTCACTTTCTACCTTTTCCAATTTCTTCATTAGAATGCTTCATGAGAGTTAGAGAGTTTGCCCTCAGACTACATTTGTTATGACAAATTTCTTTCAGACCATATCACTATTCTGTTGGCTCAGGGCCTATGAAAGGCTAAAACAAAGAAAAACAAATACTTACCAATTCTGCCTCCTGTTGACTGATGTCCTGTAGATAGGGAATGGTTGCTAGCTCCGCCATTACTTGATTGATCACCTGGGCCTGCTCCTTTACTCTCTGCAATCGGCTGAGGAGGCTGGCGTATTGCAACTTCTCCATCACACCTGAACACGCGCAGAAACTCCCCTAGTCTCCCAGTAAAAGGAAATGTTTTAGAACAAAACCACAGACATAGATAGACCTTTCTCTGGGGATTGAAGTCAGAGTTTGTTATAATATATTTACTTCCTTTTAAGCAATGGTATCTAGTACAAACAAATGTTTCCTTCTGTCATTTTAGAGAATTATCTGTACCCTTTCTTCAAATAGATGAATGCATGTGAAAAGGAACACTTTGCAGGACTGCCAAGAAGAATTTGCAGGTGGCTCTGCGTAAAGAAGTTGGGCCGAGGGAAGAGAGGGGTCTGAAATCACCATGCTCCCAGTGGCGATTCCACAGAGCTGTGTCTGTTTAGAGTGGGGGTACTTTATTTACATCACCAAGGCATTATAAGAATGAAGAGTGGCCCACCATCTTGTTTATATAAAAGAATATTTTTTATGCAAGTTGAATCCTGAAAAATATTATGCATATTAAATTCTGTTTACCCCTATGGCTTACATATCAAATCTTAGCTCTGTTTTTATTTTTAGTTCTCATTGGATGGCATTAAACTCCGGCTCCTATCTCGTGGTATTATACCATTTTATTCTGACTCCTAGGACCATCCCAGCAACTGACATGATCCATCTTGAAATAGATCATTTTGTAACCGCCAATCACCATGAATCTATCGGCTTTCTTAAAATGGGACATGCTTATAATACGGTGGCCCATTTATGTGTTTGCTGCTGCCTGTAATAAAAGGTAAACTTTTTAGCTTCTCTAAAAAGTTTAATACAAATTGTAACGCTTGATATGAGAGGCAAAATTTATCATAAATATTTTACATTTATATTTAGAAAAAAAGTATTTCTGATGAAAGGAAACCTCCAAGGGTTAAAAGAAAAGCCCAAATTTTTACTGTTTGAAGGGTGATGAGAAATTAGAAGTCACAAGAGGATTTAGTTTGGCAATTACATTGCCAAACTAAAAAGGAAGAGAAGATTTGATGACCAGCATCCCTTCATGGCACGATTCCTCCTGGACCACCTACAACAGAATCACTAGGCTTGTTTGTTAACTACATAGAGTCCTGGACCTTACTCAGTGAATCACAGTCTCTTGATATGTGCCTTTAGAAATATGGATTTTAACTAGGTACTCCCCCAAATATTCTAATAAACAAAAGATAAAGAACAAATCACTACCTCGAAGCTTAGTATCTGAGTAAGGACTATTTTAGTTCATGCATGCTTGAAGAACAGATTCCCTCCTGCTCCCCAGAAATTAGAGAAGGCAAACATAATTTTTCCTTCTTAAAATAGAATCTCTTCTAAAGAGGAAAATTATTAGAAACGAGCATCTGAATTTCAACTTGAATTTAGAAAGCAGTTCTTTCTGAGATATCATACTCATATTTTGATTGACACCAACCTTCAGAAGTTAGCACTTTTCTAGAATCTTGGTAATAAAGAAAGGTTGGGTGCCATGGCATTGTATTTGCTGCATTTCTCCCTAGCAGCTATACATGCCATTTGACTAATGTCCCTCTATCCCTGATAATTTGTTCTCTCAGATTAATCATTTAGCTGCAAATTTATAAACCTATAGGAGCGATGCTTGCAAATTGTGAATTTGGGGTCCCTTCTCAAAACTGACAAAATAGCTAGCCTACCCATTTAGTTTAAATGTGTAGCTAGCTGAACAATGGGATTCTGTCAAATAGAGGAAAGCGAGTCGCAAGAGAAACGGTTTTCTTTCTGAAGAAAAATTGCTTTCTTTGTCTTTTAACAAAATAAACAATGAGGTTAGTTGTAGAAAAGTGGTGTAGTGACTGAACTGCAAAGAGCAGAAACAACTGCAGCCTACTTGGGAACGTAAATCTATCAGTGTAATTTTCCAAAACATTAGGACATAAAAATAGAAGAAGGCAATAGTGCTTTGTTAGCTTGGCTCTTGGATGCATAATAAAACAGGAAGTGCTCCCTGCAAATAAAATACTAGGAAAATTTTATAAAATAAATAGTTATAATAAAAATAAAATACTAGGAAAATTAGCGGTTGACTCATAATAGTTACCCATCCCCCCAAGCCAAATGCAGTTTGGTTATCACAAAACTACAGATGAATATTTTATATATACAAGATAGGGCTCTTTGAGAGATAAAGTGAAAAAGAAATAAAAATTAATATCTAATACTAACAGGAATGTCTTAATGCTATTGCTTTAAAAAAATAAAAGCGATAATGAGAAATTAAGAAATTGTCTTAAAAAAGGCTAAATCTAAAGGGAAGTAGCCTTCCCAATGAGACTTCAAGAGTGATCAAAGGGCTCCTTAGCTGCCGGAGAGAGTGTGATAAAGTGGCGATGACCGAAGCTAAAACCTCACCCAAGTTACAATGAAGTTTAGGTAAATAGCAAGTTCAAATGAAGGCTTCAGTCAGAATTGCCTAGATTTAATAGCAGGTATGGATAAATGTTTGGCAAATAAGTGGCACTGTACAATAGCACTGAAAAGCACAACCCAGGTATTTGGAATGTATTTTCATTTGAAATAAGATATAGAAACATTAATCGCAATAAAAGGGGATAAGAAACACATATTATTGTTCATTTCAAATGTGCACGTGTAAACATTTTTTATGCTTCGCTTGGAGGAAATTAAAAGTAAAACTAATGAGATATTAAAATCATGGTTAGTTAGGTCATTTTTTGGCAAGTCAGCCTATGGAGGAGGTTTCATGCATGGCAAGAGATTTTTTTAACTCTTTAACATTTAGCTCAGGAAGTACAGTACATAAGGTTTGAAACTGACAGCAGCCAATAAAGTTAATGAATGGAAAAGCACAGTGACATCAGGTAGCATGTGAAATAATTAGTACAAAGATCCAGAGAAAGAAAAATACCATTAAAGAGAGTTGCTGGTTGAAGGAGGGTTGATATTCAGTGGGATTAAAAGCTACTAGATAGGCAGGTCATAGAATATTTTAGATTATAATTTTTAAAATTCCAGAATCATTCTTGTTCGGCCATATGTTGTGTGCTTAACAAAAGAACCTATAATGATAAGAAAACCAATGTCAGAGGATAAAGAGAATCATTGCTTGAGACATAGAAACCTCCTTTATACCAGAATGTCCTTTGTGTCCTTCACCAACTGTGTCTACCAACTCATGGCAAGAAGTGAACATCTATGTTTCCTGGAAGCCCTACTGTGGGCAGTAGACCTACTCCATGGCTGGAGATGGCACCTCTAATTCTGCCTTTGTGACACAAAGCACAAAGGTGCCTAAACTTTGTGACATGGGACACATCAGTGATCTAAGAAAAAAAATTAGAAACCCACAGGACACTTGCACAATCTTCATTTTAGAAGAATATGTAATTTCAAAGTACACAATTTTTAGAAAGAAAAAGAAAGGTCTGTAAAACAGTCCTTTTGTCAAAGGAAACTAAAACCAATACAAATAATTAAAACTTCTAAAATTCATAATACTTTATGTAGCACTTCAACATGGATTATGGACTTTTAGTCTCATGACAACTCTGTGAGGTGGGCCTGGCAGATATCGGTCTATTTTATAAATGAGAAAAAATAGGTCAGAGATTAAGTGATTTGCCCTGGGGTTACCAGCCAGAGCACAGCCTTGGACTAAAGTCTTCATCTACAGGTGTCACAAAATAAGGTAACAGCTAATAAGGACAACACAATGCCTAAACATTCTAGTGTTATGGCATTTGATCTGACAAGAAAATACACACCTCAAGGGATCTTAAAAACACCATTGAGGGCTGCTCATGTCAGAGTTAATGGTACCATGTAGGAATAATTTCTACTCAGCAACTCATTACTTGCTTCATCAAGCTAGGTTACCTTTACAGCCAATTTTATTCACTCCTGCTTTATGAAGCTGTGGTCAGGTGTATAATAAGAAACCTAGAAGCCAATATTTAGATATACTTGTGGTCCCTGGGTACCTTCAGGATCACTCACTTCAATTCCATTAAAACTCTTTGAGACAATCTTTCAAAAACTGTTACTTTCCATAGAAGCAAACATAGGAAAATTGAAATTCCTTGCAGTTATTAAAGTGGTACTGACTCATTCTAAAGAAGATTGAGTTATTAATTAGATGCTATGAATCTTAATTACTGTATGATTTTCAAATCTCCTTTATAGATACAGAAAGATACATATATATACAAATTTCCAAGTGGCCAGAATGCCCTTTGAAAAGTGAGGAGAAAAGGAGTTAAGAACATTTTTAAAGTACATAATGCCCAGATGGGCCCAACCTGTATTCACAACATATTGTGAGATCTGAGCTGGCAAAAGATGATGTGGTTATTTTCCTGACAAGTAACAGGTATGGCAGGTGTCACCCCCAAAAGCCAGAGCACAGACAGATCACCTCCGCGACATCCAGCACACTGGTGCAACTAGGCTAATCAAGTGTGGACAAAATGAGATAATGCTATGTGGTGATAGTTCTTGTTAGCAAAGCTTTCACTGCTTGCAAGGGCCTGACGATGACAATGACAATGATGTGCGTGGGTCTCTAATTAGGATGGGAAGGTTTGTGTGTGTGTGTGTGTGTGTGTGTCTGGAGGAGGCTGTGATAGAGGGTGAATTGGAGAACAGTATCTAAAATTTGTAGTGGAGCCAGTGAGATTGCTATAAAGTATTTGTGTTCACCTGAAATTCATATGTTGAAGCCCCAACACCCAGTGTGATGCTATTTAGAGAGGAGGCCTTTCGAAGGTAATTAAATGAGGTCATGGGGGTGGGGCCCTTACAATGGGATTAGTGCCCTTCTAAAAAGAGACAGCAGAAGGCTTGATCTCTGTCATGTGATGACATAGCAAAAAGGTGGCCAATTGCAAACCAGGAAGAAGGCCTTCATCAGAACCCAACCATGCTGGCATCCTGATCTTGGACTTCTAGCCTCTAGAACTATGAGAAAATTAACTTCTGTCATTTAAGCCACCCAGTCTGTGGCATTTTATTCTAACAGCCTGAGATGACTAAGACAGACATAGATTTCTTATTAATAGAAATACAAGGGAGATAATTAGGTATAACACAGTTTTGGAGCTATGCAGTAGGAAAATCAGTAAAAATGTGCTTTTGTATTTGTAATGCATAGAATTTCAAGTCATTCAACTGTATTAGGAATTTTATAGCTTTTCTAAAATGCAGAATAATGTTACTGAGCAGATAAACTGTTGAACAGATGTTAAATTGCTATTTGTGATGACCGCTTGGTTCTCCTTGTAAGGTAAGAACATCAAATCAATGACATAATACGAAATCTACAAAAAGAAAATTCTTTAATATTTTCTGTTTGCAGGCTTTTCAAAAAATACAGTAGTCCCCACTTATGCTTAGGGGATATGTTCCAAGACCCCCAGTGGATGCCCGAAACCATGCAGATAGAACCAAACTCTATATATGTTTTTTTCCTATGCATACATACCTATGATAAAGTTTTACTTATACATCAGGCACAGTAAGAGATTAACAAGAATAATTAGTAATAAGGTAGAATAATTATAACATACTGTAATAAGAATTATGTGAATGTGGTCTCTCAAAATATCTTATAGTACTGTACTCACTCTTCTCGTAATGTGAAATGACACAATGCCTTTGCGATGAGAGGGAGTGAGGTACTCAGAATGGTGTCAATTTAAGACATGAATTATTTATTTCTGGAATATTCAATTTAATAATTTTGGATTGTGGTTGACCTCAGGCAGTTGAAACCACAGATAAGGGGGGCTACTGTATTAGAAAAGAGAAACCTGCAGCCTTTATAGCCTGAGAATGAGAGGTTTCCTTTATGTACTTTTGGTACAATAGTTTAAATTCTGTAAGATAGTACAACATAATCCAGGTCTTATTTTGGGCTTTTTAAGACTGAAAAGAAGATGGGACATATTTCTCCTGGATCAGAAAAAAGGAGATTAGATAATTTACATTAAAGGTATACAAAGAGTGATTGCCAGAGTTTAGAGTAGCGTTGAGTTTATTCATATGGTGTGGTGGTGCTAGCTTGAAAAGATCTGAATTCTTGTGTAGGAAACGAGATGGTTATAAGCAAGAGTTTATAGGGAAAACATGTATTTGCTAAAAATTTGTTATTGATTTGAAATGAGGAATTCACTGCAACCTTGAATTAGATATCAGGAAGGCCCATAGAAAGGCATTTTAAAGAGATACTAGCCTAATAAATGTTGAAAATTGCATAGCATTGTAATATTTTTAAAATATAAAAGGAATAAAATCATTACCTAAACTTTGGTGGTTTTGCAAATGAGGTTTACTATGAAAGTTTCTAAAATTCTCCAGTATGTGCAATATTTGCACCATAAACTTTCCATACTTCTAGAATTTTCTAATATTTGTACATTGGACAAATACTAACAAAACCCCTCATATACTTACGTTCAGTTGGGTGCTTCTAATAAAATCCAGTATTGGCAAGATTCTCTTCCCCATTGTCTCCATGTGTCTCACTGTGTCTTCTCTGGTCAGCAGGCAGAAGGGAGTTTTATGTTCTAAAAATTGTAACAATAAACTTTTATACTATTTTTCCAGACTTCCATTTCAAAATGCTTTCTTTAGCAAGCTATAAAGAGATATCTCAATGTTAACAGATATGAAATCTTTAGTATAGAAACCAGTCCCATCCCTAGACCACATATATACCAATGAAAGATCAATAAGAAGAAAGGCGGAGGAGACACTACCCTTTAGAAACTATCGTTTATTCATTTTGTTGTGTTTCCTGATTGAGAGATCTAAGAGACAGCCTACAACAATTCACTTCTCTCTGTAGAGTATGTTTTTCCTGAGTTGTAAAAAAAATGTTGTCATAAATGTGTCTGATTCTTGTCTTGTTTCTCCCAGGTATTATTCAAGTGTGTAGATCCCATTGACTTTGAATGTAGCTCGAAGTTAAGATAAGCCTCCGAGGATACAGTGCCAAACAAAACACAAATCCTTAATTATGTAGGTAGAGCTGAAGGAATAAATTTAACCTGGTCATAAATTTAGCCCACAATTTGGAGACTTCAACTCTCTGTGAATATTTTCTGAATTTTTTTGGAAGTTTCAGCTAGAATTACTGAACACCATTTAATTATAATACTCTCCAGGAGAGCTAAGCTCTTGATTAACTACATAAGAAAAGAATGGAACAGATATCAATACAATAGCAGATAATCCAAGTGATTTAAGGTTGTTGCTGGCTATATTTTTTATTTCATAAAATAGTTTTATTGTATAATTGTCTTCTACATTTGCTAATTGATGATGATAAAGGCTTGTATTCCTTAAGTATGCTATGATTAGATGTTGGTAAGAGGATGGTTAGGGTGAGAGGAAGGTGGAGACTTTAGGATTGTGTTTGGTTTCAGGGGAAGCTTTCCTGGAACCTGAATTTCAGGCATTGTTAACTAACCCACAGAGAAGACTGGAAGGAGTTAATTATAACTCAACAAACATTTTGGGGGGCCCAGGCTCTACTATATGCTAGGCCTTATGATGAATAGACTTGATGGATAATGTACAATTCCTGCCTTACAAAGATATTAAAAGATAATAACGCCAGGTGATTTACCTGTAAATGTTGGCAGCTTCCTACTTGATACTTTTTCCAAAAATTTCCCATCTTCTTTGTTTTTGAATCCAAGAGTTAAGAGATATTGTTGGGGAGGAAAAGATGACCAGTCAACTGTCTGAGGCAACATGTGCAGTCCTTGAAGGTCTGAAATATGACAGAAAAATAACTAAAGACTTTGTTATCATATTGTTTTCAGGGTATTTTTTCCCCTAGATTTCAGGAATTGTACTTGGAAAAAAAAAACATAAAGTACAGATATTAAAGATACAAAGTAAAAGTATGTGCATCAAAAGGTCAAATAGCTGATATATCATAATCATATTTCATTATTTATACTTTTCTTAAAATAGGAACAAACACATGGCATAGTAATAAAATATGGCTAAATGTCACGGTCCTCCTTCCTTATATTCAAAATAATAGAAAATTCAGGACCAGCTTGTAGCCGTAATATATTTCTCTGTGACTCTTTGCAAGAGAATCTGATTTTTTTGTTCGTGGTTTAATATTTAAGGAAATAATGTTAAATGAGAGGAAAGAGAAAAATCATTCAGTGAGAATTAAAATACAAGACTAACTAATTTAGTTGACTACCCTGCTTCATTGTAGAAGAAAATTTGAAATGATAAATGTACTTACTTTTGTAATTAGACTTGGAAATGATTCAAGTGTCATGAAAATCGTTCTAAAACAACTCAGTTCTTAACGACTGTAAGAGCTCGAGTTTACTGAGTACTTATTTTCTACTTTCCCTTGTTCTAAGTATTTTGGGTACATCGTCCTTTTCAATCGTCATGACAACTTTACAAAATCGGTGATGTTGTCCCCATTGTACAAACAGAAAGTTGAGGTACACGAATGGGAAGTGACTTGCCTGAGAATCCAGCTTGTAATTCTCCAGAGACCACAGCCCTAACCACAGCACACTGCTCTCTGCTCGTTTGGCTCTGGGTTACTTTTGGGATAGGGACAAACGTCAGCCACTGGGTCTTGGAACACAGATTCACTTAATTCATTTCCATTCTGCGTTATAAGGCTTTTGTTTAATGTAAAAGGCTTCTCAGATAAAGGATGATGAACAGAGAGTTTAATGAGCCCTCCCAACTTAACACTGCCAGAAAGGGAAAAAAGCTGAAATTCCAAAAATCCTTGAATTATGATTTAGTTAAAGATCGATTTTTAATGTTGAATCAGAACTCGAGTGGTAATGATTCAGACATGTCTTCACTGTTTATCTGTATTATTTTTTTAAAAAAGTCGACATAGTAAATCATGTGTTTTTATTTACCCTTCCCACCCACCCTTTTTTAGCTATAAAACCCTTTGTACAAACTACAATTGACTGAGATGCCCAATGTTTAAGGCTGATAAAATTAGAGTTGTTTCTTGGCTATGGTTTGCTCTTTAATCTGATTTTGCTCCCTGACTTAGAAGGCCCCAGGACTTCTTGGCCAGGCTGGTGATGAGGTCTGGGATTGTCCTATGGGAAAGACCTTGGCTTCCTGGGTAACTCTGGATGACCAGAGGGCCTCTGAATGGGTGTGGGTAGGCTTTATAGCTGTTCTGACCACCCCATTCCTTTGGTATATCTAGCTCATTTACATAGAAGTCTCTGAGATGCCCTGAAGTCTCCTGTCAGCACCAGACAGGATTCAGCTCAGAAAGGACACCTTCAAGACTTTTAGGCCTACGGCTGATGTTTTCCTGGAGGCCTCAGAGTCCTGAAGTTCAAAATAGATTAGGGTGTATTGTACAGAGACTGGTGTTTGTAGTGGATTGCAGGAAGCATCTTGAGAGTTGGCATTTTCTGGTGCAGCTCTATTGCCAGAAATGGCCTGATGTTTGAGAACTCTATTATATAAATAACAAAGACTTTGAGAGATCAGCATCTTCTTGCTCTTAAATATTTAGTGTATAAAGAAGAAGCCAATACTAATAGTGGCAGTGATTAAATTGATGAGTGAAACTAATGTTAACACTGTAACTAATTTATTATAAAATATGTTTGCAAAAATAGAAAGTTTTTTTTCCTTTTGATCCTATGTTTCATCCTACGAGTATTGAATTCATTATTAACTTCTAGTCAAAATTTTAAAATGTGAGAGGTCCCTACGTATATTGTCGAATTTAGAAAAAATCATTTTTTAAAGTATCGTTCATATTCCATTTGTTTGCAGAGTAAATTGCAGTTGTATGAACATTTAGCCTAGCAGGTGGTCTATGACCCAAAATGATGGAAACACTTACCAGATGCCGTTTATCTCATGTAACATTAATTTGAGTGTTAATTGTTCTCAATTTTATGCTCATAAACCTGTACCTAGGTCTGAAGAGCCCTGTGCCTCTGATGGATATGAAAGTTAACCACATTTTATTGTCTTTTGGTGGGAAAGTTGAACTGATTAAAAATGTCTTCTTTGCTCCTGTCATGTCAGAAGAAAACTTGGGACAAATAAATCTTTTCATTCCTTCCTTTACAATTGATCACAATTGGAGATGAAATTTAGATGACTATGACCAAATTTATTATTAAAAAAAGTCAGT